AATAAGTGTCCCTGTATTCTGCAGTTAAGCTGAGTTAAGCCAGTGGAAGAGTTAAAAATAGGCAGTCTAAGACTGCATGTGTCTACTGCAGTACTGGTATAGAAATGTAATATAAAAGAATTGAAGAAAAGAAAATAAGACTGAAATGAAAACGAAGAGAGAGGAGTGGAAATAGAATAGGGATAAAAAAGAAAACTTTGTAAAAATCTTTGCACAGAATACTGGTGAGAAGGGATTAAGCTGGTACCTTTTACCACAAACATTTTGTATGAAGAGAACTGTAACTTTATTCTAACATAAACAATATAGTATATAGTCTTACAACATGAACCGCAACTTTTGTACTGAAAGCAATGCAGCAAAGTTCTATACGTAAAGTACTGAAAGCAAAGTTCTAATCTGAAACGTAGGTATAAAATGCAACAGAAACTATTAATCTATAGTGAACTTATGAATGGCAAGTATTTGGACAAAAACACTCGACACGCTCAATTAGATGTCTTTGTTCAACAAATACAGGACTTATTATGGCCTTATTCATAGCTTCCAAAACGAGGTAGTCCGTTGTCTCCCAAAAGAAGTGAGTGCTAGGAACAATACTGGATTTCTTTGCCTCCCAAAGGCGATTATAAATTTCTACCTGAAAGGAATTTTCGCTCTCCCGAAAGAGATTATTCGCTCCCCGAAGGAAATTTTCGATCTCTCGAAAGAGATTTTTAGCTCCCCGAAGGAATTCTCGATCTCTCGAAAGAGATTATTAGCTCCCCGTAGGGAATTTGACCCTTGAAAAGGGTTACACGTGATCCAGTGACGACCAAACGGACATTGAACGCGTTGAACTGCCGAGGAAACTGAATGCTCATAGACATTGGCATCAAAATCGTTCGACTGAATGATTCTTTTGCTGGCATAAAATCGACCCAAACCGTAAGAAAACCTGACAAACTCTTTAGAAATAGATACTTTACAAATGCATAGAAAGCTGTGCGCGGTTATTGATGCGAAATAGGACGAAAACATTGTAGAAAATACAATTAGACTCACCTTCAACAGGAATAAAATTTAGCAAATCTCAAAAAGCACATGGTAAAGACGTAGGGTTAACGTTGCAATCGATATAACGCCGTCCAGCACACGTGGCTGCCGAAGTATCGTCGAACCATCTCGAAAGGACCTCGTAATCCGTCTCCTAAACGACAGTAACCGACCGATTGATGATCATACCTCGGCTTCCGGAAATACAATCACTTAGATCCCGGTCAGCCTTGGATTAGCGTCAGCTTTCGATCGGATTCCACTTGGGATTCCTGTGGCATTTACACTCTTTCACTCTTTCACTCAACCCGATGACATTGTGTCTAAGCTTCTCTAGAAGCCGTAGACACAAAAAGCACTTCTTCCATCCCCTCACTGGGGGTAGAATGATAAACAGAACGAAAAAACCTTAAAGCCATTTCAACTAAAGAAGATGGTAAAGATGGTGTGGTCTGGTTATACATTGACATTGTAGATTTCAGTACTTGTTTTGTTTTAAAGTAAGGTTTACCTTACCAATGCATTATTTCTCTTGTCTGTTAAATAAGTGCAAAATAAATGCATTAAAAATAGAGAAATTTAAAACCCTTTAAACCCTAAGTTCAAAATTTGAATTCTCATTTGTTGGCCCTATTCATTGCCTACAGAAGTAGTGGGAAGAAGTTGATAAAATATCAAGCAAATTGTGTGATCATGTCCATAATTCTCCTGAACACTCTGTTCTACAAAGCATTGATATTACAAGGAGAAATTTGATGCTGATCACTCTTAAGGCTTAGAGGGTTGAAAGAATAACGTGAATTATAATAATAAAGTTATGTATAAAATTAGGAAATAGATTTTTAGTTTGCAGAATTCTGCAGGTGTGATTGAGGTAAGAGGGTCTGTCAGTCAATTTGCTCCCAGAATTACTCAGAACTGTGTGTAAATAAACTTGGTGCTTCAAGGAAACAAGTTTTAATTTGATAATATTTCTCCTATGGCAGAAATAGAAAGGCAGGCATCCTTTTGGTTGTGAACAAGGTTCTGTAGCATTGATCGGAGTGCTAAGAGGACTTCAGGAGGAAGTTGTCACTTTTGTAGAGGTACGTGTTTTGGGAATACAATGTTTTTCCTGATATTGTGATACAAAATACCACAGGAGTGCTACAAACTCAACTGTACATTGAACCCTAAATGCTTGGGAAGCCCAGATACAAGTGGAAGGCACACAAAATGGAGATGCGGGGCCATTCCCGTCACCAGACTACACCAAATCTCACACCATACTAATGACTACATAATAGGTAATGAATTTTGATTTACGGCTGCAAGATTTCTTGATTGGTGGGAAATACATGTACTAAAATAATCTTCTTGTATCAGGACATACACACTGTAATTACCTCCTCAATGATGTGTGAATGTATTAGACATAATTATGCTATCATTCTTTTTCCCATAACATAAAGGAAGCATAATTTCAACAAACTGTAATTTATACAGTATACCAAACATGCATACCTGAAAACTGGAAAGAAGTAATTAAAGCAACCTTTTTTTGACAATAGTATCGTTATGACCATACTGACTTTTTATGTGTACGCACTGTTTGTTGTGTTTTGATTATTGTTATTATCATTTCTAAAATTACAACATTTGTTCGTATTGCAGAGGGATGCAGATGTTGACAGGAAAATTCAGGATTTTGTTGTGACAAAGGGAGGCATTATTTGCCAGCTTCCTTCCAGAAGAAGATTGATGCAGTGATAGTATTGCTTGGGTGTTTTTATGTATTTAATGTATCATACACCCAATGCAAAGCCATCTTGACTTTTCTAGATCAGGCATTGCTTGAAAGTGGACTGGGGTAGACACTTGTCAATGTTTCCTCCCTTTTTTAATGACTTGGCAAATGCCTCAGTTCTTGCTGAAAGTAAATTCAGGACAGCCTCGCGAGGTGTAGCCAAATTGTCGAAACGTTTTTCATGGAAGTTTTCTTTCACCCTTATAGACCAAGATTTGGCAAGATTTTTTAAACATATAATATCTGTGGAGTAAAATATAGTTTAAAACATTTGCCAAGTCATTAAGGGCTGGTGTACTAGTAAGATACAGAGTCGGAACTGTAATCAAAAGCATAGAGTGTTGATCTAGATATAAAACACTAACAGGGTATAATTACTCCAATTATGACTCATTCACTTTTGATCCAGTGAAAACTATAAAGCATGGGAACAAGAATTTTCACTGGTAAGTGGTTTATCCTTCAACGATTCCACCCCTGCTTAATCTGGTTTTCTACATCATAAGCAGAATCTGAAGAATAGAAAGTTGTGATGACTCCAATTCCATCAAGCTTCTAGTTATGACTTCCCTTGCAACTCTGATTTTTTAATTTCACTCGGTGCTGAGTGCTCTTACTACTCTGACTATGACCCTGACTTTGTCACGAGTGAAAACCACCATTCAAAAGGATTAGGTCAAGTCATTAAAGGCCCGCACTAGCAAGGTAGACAGAGTCGGAGTCAATCAGACGCTTGAGAATTGATGTAGCTAAAGCATCTTAGTTCATTATTGCTCTTACAACTCTTTTGCTTCAATCTAATATACATAATTTGTCGGAATTGTTTGCTGGAGAACTTGACCAACTCTGACAATCTTTTTTTTTTTTTGTCAAAAGGGGAGTTATACAAGAAACCTTAATTGACTCAAATTCTGGTGAGCTTTATTTGATTTTCACTATAGGTTTTAAGTTTTCCTACGATGTTGCTTATGATTTTGACTTTGTCTTTTGTCAAAACGGTTTTAAGAAGTAGTTACTTTGATCACACCGAAGACAAATGTCTCTCTTGGCCAATTTAATTCCTCCAATAATTCTAAGTGTTCAATCTAGAAAAGTTGAGATTAACCGAAGATAATGTTACATAAATAGGTTAGAATACGCGTTGTTATGATGTACACAGATCACAGTAACTTATTCAGAACTGAATAAATCTTTGAAATAAGCCTTAGTTTGGTTTCATTATTTGTCAATACTTAATTAAGGGAAAAAATCTGTAGGCCCCCACCCAAACATAATAGCCCGATATGGGGCTGAATCGGCTACATTTGGAGGGGTAGTTTTTAAGAGGGCCAAAATTTGAGGGGGCTGTTTTGGCTACTGGAAAATCCAAAATGGCCCTAGTGTTTTCCATATTTACCCTTTACATAGTCTAATTTGGCCCCGATGCAAGGGTCAATTTAACTCCAAATTTTGGTACCAAAACAGCCCCATCTCAGTGGGCCGGAATTGGCCCCAAAAACAGTACCATTCTGGACTCACCCGTTTCGGCCCCATTTTGGGGGCCAAATTGGCTCTTCATTTTACAGTGTAATGAAGTCTAAAAAAGAAATAGCATTTTGAATTCTAGGTAACAGTCTAACACCACGTGAGGATAATATTTCCGTCGATCTACCATTAGTTAAACTACGACAATTACCCGGACATATTAATAAACACATTTTATAACTTTTCCATTGCATGTAAGGGTCTTAGCTAAGTCTGTAAGATTCTTTCTTGTCTCTCTTAAATTCATACACGCACCATGCCAATAGGTGAATTCATATTTTAGAGTTCTCCGTCTACATATACGTCTTAATATACGAATTCGGCTGATCTGGCAAAACGAAAACATGCATTCTTAAACTTACTTTATATCCAGATCAATCAGTTTTATTTAGATTATCTCGATTATTTCATATTCTTTTTGATTATAGACCAAAACCAAAGTCAGTTTAAAACAGATTCACTGGGGAATATAAAGATACTGGATGTGACAAGTGTTATAGAACCTAAATGTAAACATTTCTAAAATATACGTTATGTTTTGTTGCCAATTTAAGGGATAGTTTGAATGCTATTGGCAGTCATGCCAGCACTCGCTAAATAGTGACCTTAGCAATATTCGTCCAAAATTACCATGACTGAACTTTCAGCGTTTGCGTCACAAACAGCTTTCAGTTTCCACGTTATGGAAGAAAAGTCGATTTCTTTCGACAGCAAAAAAGTGCTTTGTTTGATCATTCTGTTCCTCAGGTGTAAACATGTCAACTAGTTCCTTCATAGGTGTCAGTAACGGTTCCAATGAGTACGCACGGCGAGCTTCGTTTTTCAGTACTTGGCTTTTCCCCCAAATTTTTGTCATTACATGGCATGTTCTCATCAGTTTATCACTTAGTTTAATGGACCTTTGTTGAGCCATTTTGAGATCTTGCAATTGACTCTTTTGTTCTCGTAATCGCTGCTTTGTTATCTGCTTCTCCTTTTCTTCACGCTTCAGTTGTTGGCAAAGATTGTTCTTCTCACTTTTTTTTGCCTGCAACCAGTTTTTCCAATCGTTCACGTTATCTTTAGCAGAGCTCACGCCACTTTGGGCAGATTTGACGTCATCTTCGAGTACCGTAAGGCTTACCGCCACCATGGTTAGCCCGGGAATCCAACCGACTATGGCAAGACTTGTTATTGCGCGTCCTACGCGTGCTACATTTTCTTGATCTCTTCTTTTGTTTCTCAACTCTCTTTCAGCATCGTTAAGTGTATCCTGGGCACTACTGAGTGCTTTTTTCACTTTCTTAACCTTTCGTTCACTGTCTTTAATTTGTTGGTTCAGACCCTGAAGTTGTTGATTCAACTGTTCTACTTTCATTTTCCTCTCATGCAGAAACATTGCTCTTTAAGCTGCTAATGGAGGAGATTAGTCTCTCAGTTTCTTCACATTGGCGTGCCTTTTCGCCTTCCCAAAACTTTAATGCTGTGTTTAAGTGTGTGTGGGCCTGACGTATTGGGAGACGCAAATTCTGGGCAATTGCTTTCACAGTCTTCGCCGGTGTAGTTGTAGTGATCTCAGCTTTACAGAGAACTCCAATTGCTTTGTCTAGCGCTTGTATTCCTGTCACTACAAATTCTTTCTGTGCTTCGTCTTTGTACAAAAGAACAGAGTGACCAGACGCAAACGTGGACAATGCCATGACCAAGAACAGGAGTAACAAGAGTCAAATTAGCAGCGGTATCAGAGAAAGTGTTTTACAGTCTGTTGAAGTTTTCTAGGAATATCAGTGTATTGTTACAAATTCCAAAATAAGAATTTCCCTGAAAGTAGGTGAAAGAATTCCATGCATTTGTTTAAACGTGTATTGATGTTCAGGAGTACATGCAATAATTCATTCCCATTCTCTCTTAAACAAACGGAAATTGGCTAATTCGTTAATTGCTTTGAGCTCGTATTTTCGGGCATCTACACTTGTACCATAAACAGCATCCCTTGCTGCCAAATACAGTATGTGGGAGAGAAGAGAAGAAGATAGGGGTCTACAGACGGACAAAAATGAGGGGACAACTGAGGGGCAACAAAGGGGTAACAAATTGTGGCGAACGTAAATGGGGCGAATTGCCTAACCCAACAAATTGAGTAAAGTGTTTAGACCGACATAATTAGGGCGAATTGTCTTACTCTAACAAGTCGAGGGTAGTGCTTAGGGTTAAATCATTCGAGGGCAGTGCTTAGGGTTAAATCAATCGAGGGCAGTGCTTAGGGTTAAATCAGTCGAGCGGAGTGCTTAGGGTTAAATCAATCGAGAGCAGTGCTTAGGGTTAAATCAGTCGAGCGAAGTGCTTAGGGTTAAATCAATCGAGGGCAGTGCTTAGGGTTAAATCAATCGAGGGCAGTGCTTAGGGTTAACTCCATTGGGGGCGGTGATTAGGGTTAAATAGAGTGGTCGCGCAAAAAGTAGTAGGGTGAATTGTAAGTTAGGTTTCAATGCAGATGGATTAATCCCTCGAGTCGATTGTCTAGGTCATGACAGTGAGCACGTTTTCGCCCATTGATTTGCTGACTCAGCAGAATTTGTTTCTATTTTTAGATGATGACGTCATCTTTTAGATTAATCCCTCGAATCGAATGTCTTGGTCATGACAGTGAGCACGTTTTCACACACTGATTTGCTGACTCAGCAGAATTTGTTTCTATTTTAGCTGATGGCGTCCTCTTTTAGATTGCAATAGCGTATAAAAAGGGGACAACGCTGGGATAATTCATTTTGATTACGATACGTTGTACTGATCACAGCTATCACCATGCCGATTACTTATATCCGAGACCGTGTCCAAAGTGTGGCAAGAAGTACAAGAACAGATTTGACTTTTGTCGTCATAAGAAATATTGTGGAACTAATTTGAAAGTTGCATGTTTACACTGTGACAAGTTGTTTTCGAGGAAGGGCAAAATGACTGCCCACGTTAAAAAATTCCATTCTGAAGCAGCAAAACGGAAAGCTGAAGAAGGTGCCGAGCTCTTACGTCTAGAGTTATTGAATTCTGGAAAGGTACCTCGATTAGGTAATGAGGAACAGACAGGCGGGGCTGTGACTACCCGTGGAATGACACACGAGACTGATGAAGGGGATCAAAAATCTGGTGTAAAAGTTACAAAAAGTAAAAAACGTGGGGCTGATCAAGGAGATAACAAATCTGATGTAAAAGTTTCTAAGGAAGAGGTAGCTGATAAATCAGAAGACTCCACTGACACATACGGTGGTGGTCCAGATCCACTCTATGTGGCTGAATTCAAGAAATTGGGTCCGGCCAAACGTTGGAAGAAAAATACCGTGGTGAACCAGAAGTTCATTCTCACGTTAGATCAAAAACGCGGACTAAAAGAACATGAAGATTTGAATATTGGAGCAACACATGCCATAACTGTTGGAATTGACAAGCTGGTCTAAGACCTCAAAATCCCAGATAACCATTGGATGACATTGCAAATAGGAAGCCGTGAACACAGAAAAGAGGGTTTAACTGGAGAGAGTTGGGGCGTACCAGTGGGTGATTTCACAGGGAGAGCCGCGTATGCACAAGCTTTGTTGCAGAAACTTTCCAATGTTTTAAATAGAGCGCAGTTCATTACTAATGATATAGGGTTTTCAGCCTCAGTCTTATTCACCCGACCTGAGATGAAAGGAGGTAAAAGAGCAGGCGGTGGTCCAGGTCAGAAAAGTTGGAGTCACTTAGTGGAAGAATCTAGATGTGTCTGTGAAATCAAAAACAAAGATTCCCTCTGTTGTGCAAGAGCCATTGTAATGATGCGTGAATATGCCAAACGTCAAGCTGGTGAACACAAGGCCTGGCGCACGCTACTGGTGTACACGGCTAAGAATCTCACATTGTTTGGCTCTTATGAACTTATTAAAACTCAGATCGCATCGATATTTGGCAAGAAGTTAAAGTTTATACACAGCTTTTCATTGAATATTTTTTTTCTGGCTGTAAGACCAAAATAAAATTGAAATATGAAAAATATGGCTCAAAATGGGACCATTTTTTAACAGCTCGCGTAACATTTACAGTCTAACCACGCATATTGTGGGATTTCTCTGTTTCTGTTAACGTTACTTTGGAAAAATTTCTCCGAAGTGGTCAGTGACTTATGAGTACTAACTGTATTAAAAATTACTGAACATAATGGCAAAACAACAAAGTTTAGGGCGTTTTCAGAAAGATGTTCTGTCTACATACGATCTCTGTGCAGCGCGAACGTCAATTTAAAAGATTGCTTTTCATTGACTTTCTGTTGTTGTTAAGAGAAGAAATAATAATTTTTGGAATGCTCATAAGTTAAACATTCCTTATTGTAACAGCCGTCAATTCGATGTCAATTCCACGTTTTATTCGATCCGATCAACTACGCTCAGCACACCGTTCGAATACAATACCGTACAAGAAATCCTTACAAACAAGCAAGTGTCTCTATCCGTAACCTTGAAAACTGCTGAAATATCCGTAATGCTTCCGTAATGTTCTATTCCTTCGATGTGAGTCTAGTTAAACGATCCTTATCCGAGAAATAAAGGCGAAAATAACAAGCGATAAAAGCACATGTATGCCGAGGTTTGACCTAGTGTCGAATGACAACACCTCGGCGCAGACTGGGCCTAGTGCACAGGACACCTAGCATTTACATGGCTCCCCTAAAATGTTTGTCATTTTAACCAAAACAAATCTTACTCTAACTCGTTTAGAATACTAGAATTGCTAAGCGTTCTAGATATCCTGTTTCTGTAACATCACAGTTCCTCAGGCTCCTCGTCGGGGATTCCCGGTCTATCCTTAGGTGACTCTAGCAACAGCACAAGTTTATTGACTGGTCGATCCAATACTGATCCAGTTCCGGTTTGAACAGTCACCGATCTGACTTGGCCTTCATCATCACGACGTGTGGTAAGCACTTTAGCCATAGGCCACTTATTCCTACAAGAATTGTTGTCCTTTAATAGAACAATGTCGCCTTCCGTGAAGTTTCTTCTCTTGTGTGTCCACTTTTGTCTCAACTGTAGGATCTGAAGATATTCTTTACTCCATCTATTCCAGAATTCGTTAGCAATATGCTGTACGCGCCTCCAGCGACGTTTGCAGTAAGTATCTTCTCGTTGAAACTTTCCTGGAGGGGGGAGAATGAGCTTGGTTTTACCAGTGAGAAGGGTACTTGGCGATAGTGGCAACGGTGAGAGCGGATCACTTAAGGTCTCGGTAGTCAGAGGACGACTGATGACAACAGCTTCAGCTTCACATAACAAAGTTCGCAACGATTCGTCGTTTAAGCTGTGACCATGCTGTTTCATAAGTGCTGCCATGATGTTCCGCACGGACCGAATTTGTCGTTCCCAAACGCCTCCGAAATTACTTGCAGTAGCAGGATTTCTGATCCAATCGATGTTCTCCTTAAGCAACTCTGCCTTAATTTTCTCATCATCCATTTCTTGAAGTGCTGCCTTTAACTCGTTTTCAGCCCCAACAAAATTAGTCCCTTGGTCACTGCGAAGTTCTCTTATGGGTCCTCTATGACAGGTAAAGCGCCGTAATGCTTGTAAGAATGAATCTGTTTCCATGGAGTGGGCTACTTCGATATGTACCGCACGACTGGACAAACAAGTAAATAGGGCTCCGTACCTTTTAACTTCTTTCCTGCCTTCTTTGACATACCACGGACCAAAGTAGTCCACTGCACAGTATGAAAACTGTGGCGCGGGTTCAACACGGGAACTTGGGAGGTTGGCCATTTTCTGTTCTCCAAAAGTACCACGGAGATGTCGACACGTGACGCACCTTGATATGAATTGTCTGACCGCAGCATTTCCATTGATAATCCAGTAACCACTCGAACGAAGTTCGTTTAAGGTGAGACCTCTTCCGCTGTGGTGAGTTTTCTCATGGGCGTGACGGAGGACCAGCTCTGTAATATGACCAGTCTTCGGTAAGATGACAGGGTTCTTAAGACTGTCTGAGAGGTTAGCCTTCTTTATCCGTCCTCCGACTCTCAACATTCCGCTGGCATCCAGGTATGGGTCAAGGGTGTTAAGGCTGCTACCTTTCTTCAAAACTGCTTTCCTTTCCTTATCATGATGACGATCTTTAGGCACACTTCCGGTCTGGGTTTGGAAATCTTTCAGAATCTTGATTTCTTTATCGAAATAATTCGCTTGCACCAGCTTGAGAATTTCTGTTTCTGCATGTTCAAGGCCTCTGACCATAAAGGAAGTAGCCGGGCAACCTTCACATTCACGGCTTCGTCCATTAACTTGAGGACCGTCAACAGTTAGAGGTCTCTTGTCTGCCTTACTGGCTCTCATCTTGAGACGTCGTTTGTATTCCATACAAAGCGCAACTGCGCCTTTTAGGACTTGCCACTTGGAGAATCTTTTGAATCTGCTTAACATGTTTTCAAGTTCTTCAATCACTGTCGCGTTAGCGGTAACCCTTTTAACGTCAGGAGAATTGTGGTCGACCTCGTTTTCGTATGAGTCTTGTTGAGGCCAGTGATCTTCCGTCTGCCACAAGACGTCTGGGCCCTTAATCCACTGCGACCTTTGCATAAACTCCTTAGCGTTCATCCCCCTCGATGCTTCATCTGCTGGGTTGGATCCAGACTCCACGTAGCGCCACTGGTCTGGTGAAGTGTGGTCACGGATGAATTGCACTCTATTTGCAACATACACTTGGAATCTTCGAGATTCATTGTTGATGAACCCGAGGGCAACCTTACTATCGGTCCAGTAGAAGTCTTGGAGTCCGTCATAGTCTAACTCTTCTTTTAGCATGCTTGCAACCCTTACTGAAACGGTAGCGGCAGTTAGTTCAAGTCTTGGAATAGTGACTGTCTTCAACGGTGCAACACGAGCTTTCCCCATAACAAGAGAACAATGAATTCTTCCGTTTTCATCAACCAGTCTGAGATAAGAACATTGTCCGTACCCGACTTGAGACGCATCTGACATATTATGTAGCTGAGCAGTGGCAATGCTTCCAAAATCAGGAGGCTGAAAGTTTCTTGGGATGTTCAGCTGCTCTAATAGCGGTAACTGACTTCTCCATCTTCCCCATTTGGCAAGAACTTCTCCCTCGATTGGCTCGTCCCAGTCTTTTCCGTGACAGATCTCTTGACGTATCTGCTTTCCAACAAGGACGACGGGCGCAATCAGCCCCAGAGGATCAAAGATCGAGCTTATAGTTGCCAGTATACCCCTACGGGTACATGGCTTGTCCTTCAACTCTATCCTGAATTTGAATGCGTCCGATTCAATACACCATTCTACACCCAATGCTCTCTCTATTGGTAACTTGTCACTGCCTAGGTCTAGGCCCTTGATCTCCTTTGCTCTGTCTTCAGCAGGTACTGACATCATCACCTTTCTACTTTTGCTGACAAATTTCGTTAGTTTGAACCCTCCCTTTGCACACATCTCTTTAACAGCTTGTACTAGTTCTACAGCGTCCTTCTCTGTCGGTACCGAACTCAGAGCATCATCGACGTAAAAGTTCTTCCTTAATGTTTCGGCAGCTCTTGCACCAAACTCTCTTTCACCGTCTTCGGCTGTACGTTTCAAGGCGAAGTTAGAACACCGTGGAGATGAACCAGCTCCAAAGAGGTGCACTGTCATGCAGTACTCTTGAGGCTCTTGAGTTAAATCTCCATTTGGCCACCATAAGAAGCGAAGGAAGTTTTGATCTTCCCTTGGAACCTTGACTTGAAAAAACATTTTCTCTATGTCAGCCATGAAGGCTACCTTCTCCTCTCTGAATCTTGTGAGCACCCCAGTGAGCTTGTTTGTTAGATCGGGCCCTTGCAATAGGTGGCCATTCAGCGATTCACCCTGGTAACGAGCTGAACAGTCAAATACTACGCGTATGCTGCCTGGCTTTTTGGGGTGGTAAACCCCGTGGTGAGGTAAGTACCAGGCCTTTCCTTCTTGATGGGGTAGCTCTTCAACCTTGACCTTTCGAGCATATCCCTTCTCTATGATTTCAGTCATGAATCTGACGTAGTCAGCACGATACCTTGCGTCGCCTTGGAGTCTCTTCTTAAGGCCGTGCAGGCGTTGCTCCGCTTGAGGACGGTTATTGGGTAGCTGTACATTCTTTTCTCTAAAGGGCAGAGGCATCTCGTAATGCATGTCATCTCTATGATGGATTCCATCTTCTACAATCTTCAGGAACATTCGAGAAACCACTTGAGGGGTTAGCCGCTCCTTAATCTCTGTCTTAGCAATGATGTACCCATTCACGTTATCCTCTGTGTTGCTCTTAAGAATCTGAATACGGTTACAATGTACTTGTTTACTGCTCTTTTGGTTAACAGGACCGTTTACGTGCCATCCCAGTAGTGATCTTACTGCATAGGGTTCATTCTCATTCCCGCAAACAATGTCTCTTGGTCGCACTGCACTAGGGC